GACAATGGAACTCCAGTCCTCTGGAAGACCAGTCAGTGCTCTTAATCACTGAGCCATCTTTCCAGCCTCTAATATAAAATGTTAGGAGAAATTTTTTCACAGGAAAACTGAGAAAACGTATGTCTTAGTTTGCTTTACTAGTGCTGTGATAAACACTATGACTAAAAGCAACTTGAGCAAGGACATGTTTATTTCAGCTTACAACTCCCAGATCATAATCCATCACTGAGGGAAGTCAGGGCAGGAACTCAAGGCAGGACAGGAACCTGGAGGCAGGAACTGAAGCAGAGACCAGGGAAGAGTACTGCTTACTGGCTTGCTCAGCTGGCCTGTGCTCAGCTTACTTTCTTAAACAATCCAGGACCACCTGCCCAGAGGTGGTACCACTCACAGTGGGCTGGACCCTCCCACATCACTCAACAATCAAGAAAAAGCTTCATAGACATGCCCACAGGCCAATCTGATAGCAGAAATCCTCCAACTGAGGCTCCCTCCTCTCAAGTGTGTCATGTTGACTAATGGAGCTACCCAGCAAAACATAAAATGTTAATACAATATTTTACTAATTATTTGATAATTCATACATGCATACAATATACTCTGATCATATTCACCTCACTCTTCCCTCTAACTCCTCCTCATTCCTTCCCATTCTTTTATTTATAACCCATCAAGTCCAATTTTCACTGCCTAATTAAGGAAATTTTAAATTCAAATTACTCATTCAAAGAGTAATTATTACTATTCAAGCACTTCAAGTTATATATGGAAAGTCCTTCATATAATGCCTCTTCACCCTCTACCCCAGTCTTTTCTAATACAAGAGGCCCTAATTTGAATGCAACCATGCCTTTCCCACCATTAACCCTGGTACTCAAATCAATTCCTGTATGACAAGCATTAAATAATTTTTTTGACGGGGTGCAAGGGTCCATGTAGTCCAGACTGGCTTCGCTATGTAGCCAAGGATGGCCTTTAACTTCTGGTCCTCTTACCTCTCCCTCCCAAGTGCTAGAATTACAAGCATGCATCTCCATGCTTGTTTTGTTTTGTTTTTTTTAATAAATTTTAATAACTGTTGTTAAAACAAGAGGAAGGTGATGGGAAGAGTCTTACGTAAAACAAATGCTGAGAACTGATTCATTACCCCTACCTATAGGCAGTAGTAAGCTTTCCTAGTATCTCTGCTCTTATTTCTATCCAGGCATTCAAAGCATATCTAAACTAGGATGAGTTAATCTGTGTGAGCTCTTTGCTTACTGACTCTCTGACATCTGTGATTCTGCCTGCCTAAATAAGCAGGTCTTAGATGGATTCTCTAAACTTGAGACCTACTGGACTTGGACATAACTTGAGGGTCATTTGGAACCCAGTGGCCATTCATTTTAGACCATGGAAAAAACAATTGTGATAATTTGTCAGAACGGTAAGAGCTCATCACTGATCTGCCTACCTTTTTCCTGTCCTTAACAGCTAATCCGGACAGAGTTTGACTCTAGCATTTCCATCAGATTAATTTTAGTAAATTTTTTTTACTCTAAAACTGAGTGTGGTGGTACAGGTCTGTAGTCCCAACATTTGGGAGGGTGAAGCAGAAGGATCTTCTTAAGTTTGAGGCTAGCCTGAGCTACTGAAGAGACTCTGACTCAAAACCAAAACAAAATGAAAGGAAACAATAATTTTAAAACTCCTTGACTCTAAGAACAATATGTAAAGTACATTACACCTGTCTGGTCATATTACATTTTTTTAAGGTGTTAACCCCGGGTAGTAAACTACCTCTTCAGTTCTCAAAATAGAAGGCACTTTTCAGAAGGATAAGCACTCTGAATGGTAAGGGAATGCGCATGTAATAATATCTGGAAGGAAACATTCTAGGAAGGAGTGTTCATAGAGGCAGGGGTACGTATGGATTATTTGAAAAACAGCAAGGAAGGCAGAAAACGAGAAAGGAAGAATAACAAACAGTTGGTGAAAATAAGACGAGTAAGCACAGTGAGCAGGAAGACCACACAGGGCCTTTTAAGGTAGTGTAAGAACTTTGACTTTTCTTTTAGTGAGACAGAAAGACGCTGAAGATTTTTATTTATATTTCAACAGGATCATGTTTGCTGTTATGTTAAGAATATGTTGAAAGGGGCAAAAGGCAAAGATAGGTGACCAATTTGGAAGCTATTGCAATAATCTAGGTGGGCGAGAATGGGGACTGGAGACACAATGGTAATAGTGAGTGTGTTAAACTAGCAAATTCAAACTGTTTTGAAGGCTCAATCAGCAAGATTGTTAATGGATTGTTTGTGGGGTGTATGGAAAAAAACCAAAACTTCAGTCTAGGAATTTCACCTGGATCAGTTGAAAGGATACAGTTATCATTTATTGTGATGGAAACAATTGCAAAACCAACAGAACAGGAGAGAAAGAGAGAATTTTACAAATTTCATTTTAGATATTTTAAGTTGGAGACCCACATTAAACAGATTTTTTTTTTGAGATAGGGTCTCCCAGTAGTCCCAGTTGGTAGACCAAGCCTCAATCTCATTTAGATCTATCTGCCTGCCTCTGCTTCCTGCGTGCTGAGATTATGTAAAACGTGTACCACCACAACCAATTTATCGACAGCCGCCTCTTTTTCTAATCTATGCTATTTTGCCACACTAGAATTAAATGCTATTCTAAATCTTGATGCAGACAAACCACTGATCTAGAAAGCTAGATCGATCATGACTCATATTACATAATGGTTGACTGAAGTCCTGCTTCATATACACAGACTACCAGGAACCAAGATGCTGGCAAACAACCACATTCACAGTATTTCGGGAACCCAGAGTCTTATTACAAAATTCCATCTACCAGATGTGATTCTCCTCAATACTAATTTTGGCTTGATTTTCCTGTACTTCAATAATTCTCTGAAAGTCTCTATGATTTCCATTGCCCCTCTAATGGAGTTAGTTCTCTTAAATTCCTCACAATTCTAGTTTTTCTCTCTCACTAGTAAACCTTAACCTCTATGCATGTCTTATCTTTGGCTTTCTTCCTGTACTGGAAATTAAGGAAGAGTTTGATCATGTGTCCAAAGGAAAACATAGCATTATTAATTCTAAACCATCTCTCTAAAGTTTATATATACCAGTATACATTTTTTTTAAATGGAGTGAATGAGAGAAAGACGATTCACCAATTGGGGTTTTCTGTTCACATTTATTTCCAGTGGATTTATGTTTCATTCCCCCATCTTCTCCCCAACATTGCAACTTTGTTTACAAAGACTAGTTTTCAAAGACTGTTAAGTGAAATCCAAAATGATTCAGACCCATGAAGGACTACAAAATGAGTAGTAAAGCCCCTTTAAGAATTGCCAGAAGTCCTAATGCTGTGGTGTATTTCCAAACCGGGGGCTCCAATATTTGGAAATAAGACATATGTGAAAGCACTTTCCAAATATTAGATATACATGATAGTATATTTATCTTAGATTTCTGGATGTTTGCATATTGTATTTTATCATGGAGCAATGAAACTAGGAGTGCCACAAAGCTTGATGCAAAGTCAATCAAAAATTAACCACTGCCAGGTTTGGCGGCTATATTGGATGCCCCAAGTTGTTGGCTCTATTTTTTTTCCCAGTTTTTGTAAAGTGTTTATTCAAAAATTGCCAGTTACTGAACAACTTGGAAAATAGATCAAGGTTATCACCGAACTATATTAGCAACTTAACCTAAGCTACTCCATCTTGCTCAGAATAGCTATTTTAACAGTAACCTCTTTTCACTTATGGGAAATATTTAAAAAGACACAACAGCCTTGAATTCTAAGAAATAGTTCAATCACAAACCAGTGGAACGTGCTAATCTCAGACATTCTATATGTGGCTAACTGCTTGTTTTCGCTTCTGTAACTCGCTTGCTTTGTTAGGTCACCTTGACACAAAGTATAAGACCGCCCTGTTATTGTATGACCACCGGTAACTGCTCGTTTCAGCTTTCTTACTATACATGTTATGGCTAGGAAGTTGACTAATTTTAAAATTACAAAGTTGATTGCCAAGTTACATGACCATATCACTCGTCTGTATAATGATTGGTTGTCGATTAATAGATTCAAAGTTCTGCTATGTTGTACAAACCTGATTGGTTCACAAGTGTGTTTGAATAATATTTCTGTAATCCTATAAAAACTCTGACCTGACAATGACCAGGGCTGCGTCTACTCCCTAGATAGACAGCTGGCAGGTCAAATAATAAACATTTACCTTGCTACTTTTCTTAAAAGTGGTGCTGGTGATTTTTTGTGAACTCCGACATATAACAATCACTTCTCTGCTATTGCCTGTGGGCGTTTTGCAAGATCCTTGGTTTTTACAGACATCTTTCAGTTACTCATTCCATCAAAGGACACCTGTCATTCCACCACTGATCAGTTTAATTTGGAAAGAAACTTTAAAAATGAAATGTCATTATGAATCTTCTATGAAACAATTTTCTGTATCACCGGTGCCAAAATGTTTTATGCTTTTATTTTGTAAGAAATCTCTAAAGTTTAATATTCCTTGCAGCTCGAAAGAAAAGCTGAGATCTGTACTCTCCCTCCTCTGAAAACTAAGCGTTATCCCAACTATATTTTTCACCTGCTCGTTTAATTTGGCAAACGTGTTTTTCTCAGTGATGTGTACTTAGGACAAACCATCAAGTGTAAGACAACCGAAAACTGTGAAATCTGGCTTGGAATCCACCAGTGCTTCACATCATTACTATTTCCCTCGAGACACAAAGACCGTAGGGCCAGGCAGAGTTTTCTACTCGGAAACTTGCCCACAGTAAAGTACAGGTCACAGTTGCTAAGACCCAGGTGTTAAAGGAAGCCAGAGGGCTTTCCCCCACCAGCTTAAGACAGAGTAGCACTGGGAAACTACAATTCCCAGGAGGCGTTTCGCGGCAGCGAGATTCACCCTTGTGATGTGCAGACCCAGGGAATGAAACCCAGTCCCAGAGGTTTCTGGGAGGGAAGAATGGCGGCACCCGGGCTGCGTCATGGGTTGGGAAGGCTACCTGAGATGGCGGCCGCATTGCGGCGCTGGAACCGAGTGTATAGCACGTCCCAGGCCTTTTCCGAGATGCTAAGGCTGCCTCAGAAGCAACTGACGCGGATACTGTACCCGCTGAGAGAACTAGAGGCGCACCTCGTCGCGGACATGAGCCCTCTCCTTCAGTGGCGGCTCTTCGACCCGAGCCTGGAGGACATCAAGAAGGCCGAGAGCGTGTTCACCGCCACCCCCCGGAACCGCATCGAGTACCTCAGCTCGGCGGTCCGCCTGGACCACGCCCCGGGCCAGCAGCAGCCCGAGGTGAGGGAAACAGGTGCTGGCCGCAGGGGCCCGCGGGGTCGCGCGGGGACTTCATGTATCCACCCCTACGAGATCTGTAGCCTGGTGTGGATGCGTATGTTTTTAAAAATACGCTCATATAGCTAGAATCGTCACGGATATGGAAGACTTTAAGAAGTTTTAAAACATGGAACTACGCGTTTGAATAGTTAATTCCGCCCTTTTATATTTTTCCTTTTTAATTGAAGTCGGGAAAACATTCTGAGACAGATTAGAATCCAGATAGTGAAGAATGGGAAACAATAGTTTCATCCAATCTAATTTTCTTCTGTACAGAAATATTGCACATGACAGTAATTTAGATTTTAAAAACAAATTAGTGAAATTCCATTTTATGCATGTTCTACAATTTAATATAATAATACACTAGTTTGTTTTAACTAAAAGGCAGCTCCTGTCTTCACCTTTGCCCTGTAACTAGACCATTACCCTGAATTTTTTTTCTGTAAATTATGTAGACCTGACATAACCAAGGTACTGGAGATTTGACTCAGCGGTTTAGACACAATGGTTAATGGTGTGTACTGCTCTTGCAAGAGACCCGAATTCAGTTCCCAGCATCCACAATCACCTGTAACTCTAGCTCCAGGGGATGAAAACTTAATTCTGGCCTCTGAGGGCACCTTAATCAGATGCACATACTCACCATGGAGCCACACAGATTCACACACACAAAAAGTCTAGCCGGACAGTGGTGGAGCACCCCTTTAATCCCGTATTCAGAAGGCAGAAGATGGAGGCCAGCCTGGTCTCCATAGTGAATTCCAGGCCAGACCCTCAGACCCTGTCTCAAAAAGACTAAAAAAAAAAAAAAAACCCTGCTATTAGTGGAATTTTTGTGGACTATAATTCGTTTCGTTTTCTAAAATTCAGCTTTGTCATGTATTAGTGTTGGACTTAATCTGGTAAGAGCATTTGAAAATTTATGCAAGACTGGGATCAATTCATTTTGAAGTTCCAACTAGAGTTTGGCTGACTGTATAGCATTCCTGACTCCTGAAAACTAAATGCCACCTTCAGTTGTGTTAATAACCAAAAATTCCCTTATATATTTCCAATGTGTTCTGGGGCCATTGTAACCTCATTTAGAGCAATGAGTTAAAGTTGTTGCCCCTTCAGTACAAGGTGAAGCAAAGCCATATGAAATAAAGAATTTTATCTAGAACATTTAGTTGCTTTCCACATTGCAGAAGAGAAAAAAGTTTCATTGAAATATCAGAGGTCAAAGGGAAAAATTCTCAAATTTTAATAGTGCTGCAGTACACTGTGGTAGTTCTTAAGGAAGCTGCTTCCAAACATGTACTTTTATTTTAGATCACTTCCTTGCTTGTCATGGGACCCTTTCTAGGACTTAACATGCGCACGCGCGCGCACACACACACACACACACACACACGCACTTAAAATGAGGTTCCACATATAATGACAGCATGCAGTATTATCCTTTCTTAGTCTACCCTGTTTTTCTTAATGTAATGATTTCCAATTCCAACCATTTTCCAGCAAATTTCATCATTTCATTTTTCTTTACTGCTGAAATAAAATTCCACCATGTATAATGTACATTTTCTTTATCAGTGGATCTGTTAATGGACATCTACCCTGATTCTTCTTCCTAGCTACTGTGAACAGTGTAGCAGTAACCTTGAACATACAGGCAGCTGTGTGTTTCACTGACTTGCAGTCCTTTTATATATACCCAGAATTAGAAGCTGGGTGGTGGGAAGGAGTGTCATATGAGACATACGGAGAAACCTCCATACCGATTTCTGTAGTGTTTTCTTTTCCCAACAGCAGTGTATAAAGCTCTTCTTTCCCCATGTCCTTGCCAGCATTTGTTGTTGCTGCTTTTCTTGATGATAGCCATTCTGTTGTTCTGTTGTTCAGGTTTTTTGTTTTGGCTTTTGGCTTTTTGAGACAGAGTTTCACTGTGTAGCCAAGACTTGGTGGTGATCCTCCTGCCCTAACATCCTGCCCAAGTGCTTGGATTACAGGCATGTACCACCACACCAAACAAAATTTGAATATATTTGAGTAGCATAGTATAATTAAAGGTGCAGGTTCTGAATATAAATGATCTGAGTTCAAATTCCAATTCCTCCACTCTACCTATATATAGAATTTGGGGCTAGTTAGTGCTTTCCCATATGTTACCATGGGAACAGTATTGTTAATACTATCATAACTATGTTATTAAAAAATGTAAGAAAATAATGAGTGCTTAAGACATTACCTGGTACCTTGAGCTCGTGAATAAACTGTATGTTAAAATTTGACTAAATTAAGCCATAACTTAGCAAGATTGCTCAGTGTGACAATTTTGCAACAAATACAGCATTTAATAAGTAAAGTAGTACCCAGGTCTCTTAGTACTACATTCTCTTTTTTTCTTGTACAAGGTGTGTTTCATAGGCCGAAGCAATGTTGGAAAATCCTCCTTGATAAAGGCTTTGTTTTCACTGGCCCCTGATGTTGAAGTAAGAGTCTCCAAAAAACCGGTATGTGGGGTATCTCTTGAACTAAGATGATTCATAAGTTTTAAAAGATTCAAGAAATCGTAACTACTAAATTCCTAGATAAGATTTTTTTTTTTTTTTTCAAAAAGTAGTAAAGCAAGACTTGTCATTAGTGCCTTGGTGTTTCTCTGAAGAAAGAAAGTATGGCTGGGTTGATTTTAGTCTTGCCAATATCTTAGGGAAAGCTTCCTTTGTCCAAATCTGCCAGAGTTGACAAATTATTTTACTGTTGTTTTATATTTCCTTCATCTAGTTCTACATTGATTGAAGAGAAAGGAGCTTTAAAGTTGCTTTTTCCTATGATCTTTCATGCCCTCTCACCTCACATGCAGACACATGTACATTCTGCATATATACCAGCCATGTACAGTCTTTGACCCACAGCCCTTATACACCTGTTTTCACAGCCACACTGTTCTACTAACATCATGCCATTTTCCACTTCCTTCTCAGTGATACAGACTCTACCAGTGCCTAAAATAGCCTTTCCTCAAACTCACCCTTGACTCCCCTTACCTTAGTATCTATTGGACAGAACCTTTCTACCAGCTATGATGTTCCTCACTCCTTTCATTAAGTCGGAGCCCTCTCATGAGACTTCACCAACATTTTGCTCCCCACTTCACCATGTAGTAGATAGGCTTCATCCCTAATGATTCTTTACATTCCTTAAAGCTTCCATCTTCAGTCTGCCATACCTCATCAGATAAACCAGCTAAACTATGGCTTCTAGGTGGGATGAATTCCTTTGTTGTATAAGAGCATCAACTGTGGGTCAGATATATTCTTTACATTCTCTATAATTCTAAAATCATTTTCTAATAGGTAGACAAATAAGCTGACTGGTAATGTAATCACCATTTATAAAAATCTCTCCTTTGGTAATATTTTTTCTGAGATTCAAACAATTGACTTTTTAAATTCTTTTCTGATTAGTATTTTGTGAACACAAAAGCATGAGGAATACATATTTTATCTTCATCAATTTTAGTTGCACTGATATTTCATAATTATAGTGTTGTACATTCTTTAAAAAATTGTCAGAATGAGCTGGGCTTGGCAGCTCACGCCTTTAATTCCAACATTCTGGAGGAAGAGGAAGGCAGACCTCTGTGAGATCCAGACCAGCCTGGTCTACATAGAGTCTTCTAGGTCAGCTGGGGCTACAGGGAGACCCTGTTTCAAAAAACACAAATTTTTGGAATGGCTTTCATCAAGAAATCTGACAACAGATGTTGGAGAGGACATACAGAAAGAGGAACCCTTATTGATTGCTGGTGGGAGGGCAAATTAATATAGCTGTTATGGAAGTCAGTCTGGAGGTTCCTCAAAAAACTACAAATAAAGCTGCCATATGACCTAGCTATCTTACTCCTGGGCATCTACCCAGAGAACTCCTTCCTTACCATAGAGATACTTGCACCTCCATGTTTATTACTACTCTCTTTACCGTAGCAAGGAAATGGAACCAACCCAACTGACCTATCAACAAATGAATGGGTAATGAAAATCTGGTACATATAGAAAATGGAGTATTCAGCTCTAAAGAAAAATGAAATCACAATTTTCAGGAAAATGTATGGACCTAGAATGTATAATATTAAGTGAGTCACCCACTTAGAAAAAAAACAAAACATGTTCTCCCTTACATGCAGGTCCTAGCCTATAATTTGTACATGTACATATGTAAACAAGTGCATATTGGGGTATACTGTAACATTTAGAAAGGAGAACAAGAAAGGGTCATTTTTAAAAGACATACTAATAAGTTCATATGTATAGTATATTTGAATGCTCTCTCAAGATAGGTCACATTTTCAATGCAAAATAAATCTTTAAATGGGCAGCGTCGACATGTGATTGATTCCTTGAGGGGCTGCTACCTGATGGTGAAATCTGAGTTTTAAATTATGCTTTTCATTTGACTATATCTGTATGCTGTAGTTTTTTTAAATGCTAATAAACTTAGTGTATTTTATTCTTTTAACAAACTTCTAATGAGAATCCTAAATCCCACATGATAAAACATGCAAAGCATCTTGGTTTTAAGGAAGCACCAGTCTAGATGTAAGAAACTGTCAGACTTTTAGATCTAGCGCATATAAAAATCTGCATGACTGATGGATAAGTATTTTCAGTGCCATAATTCATTTGTGAATTATGAGAAGTGGCTGATGGCAGTCATACAGTGAGATAGGAAATATTCTAAAATATCTTGCCTATATATTTCTAATATGAAATCTGAAGTTTTAAAATTACACAGATTCTATTTTAAGAAGTAGAATGATTTAAACTTATCTCCAGCCACTTCCCTTTCTTACCCTTTGTATTCAGAAAAGTGCAGGTTATCTACCTCAGCTTTTAATAATATATGTTGATTAAATAGAAAACATTTCAAGTCATGAAATAAAGGACTTTTTTTTCCCATTTACTTTATCAGGGGCACACAAAGAAAATGAATTTTTTCAAAGTTGGAAAATATTTTACATTGGTGGACATGCCAGGTTATGGCTATAGAACACCCGAAGACTTTGTTGACATGGTAGAGCCCTATCTAAAAGAACGGAAGAAGTAAGGACATTTTTTCTTAACAGTAGTTACACATTTAACCCCAAAGAACATTTTTAACAGGAGTATCTTCACATGAAAAACCCCTGAGTTTAATCAAATGAGTTCTTCTGGTAGGTCCATTTTATTCTCAGAATACTGTACAACACAGTATTTAGGACCAAGGTATGTACTGTTTGTTTTCTATCCATGGGTCTTGATCTTAACTTCATGTGCTTTCCTAAATTGAAGTATTCAGGAGAGTGAGTTCATTTTTTTAAAACCAAATTCTTGACTGGCTTATTTTGAAAATGAAAAATGTTCGCTAACCAATTTAAATAAAATTCAGTAAATTCTGTCTGCTCTTAAAATAACTCAGCATCATAGCCTCTGAAAATATTTTTGGCTCTATAGGTAGTTAAGTAAGAATTACACAATATAGAGAAAATATGTTAAACTTCTGAAGTGTAAAAGTGTGTTGGTATGACTGGGGATATAGCCCAGTTGATAGAGTACTTGCCTAGTATGTTAAATGCTCTGAATTTGATCCTAGCATCACAAATTTAAAGAAAAAAATGTTTATAAACACTTTGTTTTTTATAGCTTTACATAGAAACCAACTTGAACCCAGCCATAGTGGCACATGCCTTTAATCCCAATACTCAATATTCAGGACACAGGCAGGTGGATCTCTTTGAGTTCCAGGTCAGCCAAGGCTACCTAGTGAGACCTTGTCTCAAAGAAACCAACCAAAGGGCTGGGGAGATGGTTCAGTGGTTAAGATCACTGGCTGCTCTTGCAGAGGATCTGGATTCAATTCCCAGCACCCACAAGGCAGCTAACAACTGTCTATAATTCCTGTTCCTGGGGAATCCAACACCCTCATCTGACCTCCGCAGACATTGCATGGTACAGGTACACTTATACACATGCAGGTAATACACTAATACACATAAAATAAAAACTACTAAAAAAAAGAAAAAAGAAAACCCAAAAATATATATATTAAAATGCAAAATGTTTCTATTAACTATATTAAGGTAATATTTAAAATTATAAATTTGATTTGTGACTCTTTTTCCCACTAGTTTAAGGTCGCAGAGGAAGGGGGACACTCATCTTTGTATTAAACCTCAGTCAGACGTACATTCAATATATATTTGTTGGAATAAATTGATACTTGGTAAATATAGTTGTTGACAGTACCATAAACTGCATTGAGACCAATTAGATTATAGGATGGACTTCCTAGCAAATTGAGAATTCTTTTTGCCTAAAGAAATTTAATTTTGTATTGAAAATTATACAAGGTGGATTTCTTAGTGAGAGGATGAGAAGATGAATGAGAGTATCTTATATTGCCTTTAATCTTCTTTTTTATAGTTTGAAGAGAACGTTTTTGTTAGTGGATAGTGTTGTTGGAATTACAAAGACAGACAATATTGCCATAGAAATGTGTGAAGAATTTGCATTACCTTATGTGGTAAGTGTTTCCTTTGACTCATGGTTGCAGTTAGAAGTCAGAAGTCACAGTTAGTATGCATGTAAACATGCACATAGATTTGTTAACAGTGAGCAGGTGAAAGACCTCAAAAGACTAAAAGTGGCTGGGGAGATGGGTCAGTGGGTAAGAGTGCTTGGTATACAAGCATGAAGACCTGAATTCTGATCTCCAGCACCCACATAAAAAGCTAGGTATGGCTGTGTGCATGCCTGTAACCCCAGTGCTGTGTAGGGTAGATACCAAAGTATCACTGAGGCTTGCTGGCTATCAGCGTTGCTCCAGGTTCACTGAAAGGTCCTGTCTCAGGAAAAGGCAGAGAGTGATAGTGCAAGACACAGAGTGTCCTCCTCTGGCCTCTGTAGATGTGCATAGATAGATGCATGCACATACCCAAACATACATAAGCACACATAAACACACACATACATACACCACATACAAGCCACACATATATACCATACACACAGCAGGGGAAAAAAAAGACCAAGGAAAGTGCCTTTAAGTTCTGTGACACTTTTGACCTTTACTTCCCTTCTTTCATTAAGCTTTTTAAATCTGTAGTCAGTTTTTTAACCCATTCATGTGTTAAGTGCTTTTCCTTTCCATGATTTTTTAAATGGAAATATAAACATTTTTCCAAAACATGTTAATACTTCCTTTAACAGCAGCTTGGCATATAGTACTTATAAAAATGTAAATAAAGCTGCAACAGAACTATTTTCTAACCCAATATGGAATTTAGAAATTGTTCAAGGAACACAGCAGATTGCAGCACACACAAATAGGATTTCTATATTCTTAAAAAATAGAAGTTCTTTGAGGAATACCTTATTAGTGTTCTTTCTCCTACCATAAAATTGACCTAGAATAAATGCAGATTAATAGGTTGGTAGCCACACTAATTTTGCTTTGCGATGCTTCCAGATAAAGTAGGACTTTTAAAGTTCCTTTATAAGAAAAAGTGAAGAACTCAGTAACTATAATTTGTCAGAAAAACCACTAAAATGTAACAGGTGTTTAATGTAAATAAAGTTATGTGGTTGATCAACCACTTTTGTTTGTTATATTCTTGGGGGTTATGAAATTCTTGAGGTTTGCAAAAGTCCTATGAAGCAATAGGGATACTGTTATAAGGCATCAAAGGATTGGTTTAGAACTGCCTGAATATTATCAAACTGGTTGTGTTAATAGTATTCCTGATTTAGTACCACGGGTATCTGAAATTACTTTTCCTCAATGGAAATAATATTTTCTTTTTCAGAAAACGAATTGATACATCAGCAGCCCCCAGAACCCCCACCCCCAGGGGCTTTAAAAAAAAAAAAAAAAACGAAACAGCAAACAAAAATTGACTTTAAATTTTGACCAAGGAATGTAGTTCAGTGATAAGAACCCCCTTGCCTGGCATTTATAAAGCCCTGGATTTATACCCATCACCACCACCACTGAACTTGTGTGTGTGTGTGTGTGTGTGTGTGTGTGTGTGTATTTCATTTAATCTATCAGGAAAACCTGATAGATAAAAGTTTCACCCATTATTAGTAAGGAAGAAAGGGGGGGAAGTGCAGGCACCTTAAGTGGGAAAACCATGATAGAGGGGGGAGACGATACAAGAGAGAAACAATGCCTAGCTAGTCACGAAAACCAGAGGGAACCATATTATTCCTACAATCTACTGACAAATTATACATAACAGATCAAGAAAAATATCTCTAGATAAGGTTTATTTGAGACCAACTGGTCATTACCCAAGATTTATCTGCAAGACACACAGTAATTAAAAATGCCAGAATGGTGGAACTAACCTTCTTGGATGTTTAACAGACATACCTTGAGATCTATACTAATTGGGTCAGAGGGATTCAAAGGACACTTTTTGCTCCTTGCCCTCCTGGGTCGATTAGTTCCCAGGGACTATGAGCATCGCGCAAAATGTCCTGTAATGGTGGTGGGTCATCTGGCCTCTTGATCAAGGAAGCCTAGGAGACCCCACCAGATGGACTTGAGCCAGTGTCCAGTCTATAAAGAGGAGGGTCAACACGGAGGAATCATTTCCTCCATGCTTCCAAGAGAAGCCAACAATGGTCGAGCAGGACCTTTGACTTATCCTCACATGGATGGAGCTGGTAAAAGAAAGGAGCCAGGGGCTCCTCCCAACCCCATGGGACCCCTGAGGAACAAATCCTCTAACGACCTCAAGAGTAAAAACAAATCAGTTTATCTGGTCCAATTGTATGTCCTTAAACACCCAAAAGGGAAGTATAACCAAAGATTAAAGGGGCCAACATAATATCATAAGAGCATACATATACATAACTAAAAGTTACTCGACAAACAGCAAAGCCAGACAGGCGATACCTTCAGTCGAGTTGTTGGCTAGGATAGATAAAGGCTCTTCCAGACAGTAACCCAACATACTACAGGAAAAATGAACAGCAGACCCCAATTCTATCCAAAGGAATACTGACAATGGATTGCCGTAGATGAGGAACAGCTGACCCTCCTGGAACAGGGACCTCTGGCTGACTAGATTTACCAGAAGGGCAGACAGGGGGGAATGGATGAGGGTGCTGACAACACAGTGGACAGTGACAGAGATGGCAGAGTATGGAGCCTCTAGTGGGAGAGGAAGTCTGTCTATCTGACAAGTTTGTATTCATGCTCAGATGCCGAGGAGCTCAGAAGGGGGGCGACTGTGACCAGTGATAGTCATGCATATAGAGATTAGAAATGCATGTGAAAACGTCTCAATGTCAATTGCTTTGGAATGAATTCTTCTGTATGAAAAAAAAAAAAGTTGTGCTGTAAAGTATTCCTTGAGAAATGTTTATAATTCTATGAGAATGTAAATAGTTTCACAGTAATTGTTTTCCAGTTAGAATATTCTAACTTAATTGCAGCGCAGTCTCTTTAATTTCTTGTTCATTAATTTTTAACTAACTTCATAAAAGAATAAGAATAAAAAAATATGATTTATTTTAGAAAAAGTTACCTGGACTGCTGAAAAGAATGTATATTCCACAGCTGTTGGATGAAATATGCTATAAACATTTATTAAATCTAAAAAAAAAAAAAAAGTTTCACCCATGCTTTGACCTTCCCCCAGGACATTATTGTATTTGGATGAGTAACATTTTAGATTTACCTGGAATACAACTATATCAGATAGATCCAACAAATACCCCAGTTTCTAATTTTTCCTTTAGAGAGTTACTATAAATATGAGCCTTTTATAGTTCAAAAATTGTTAAATATGGGCAGTTTTTATGGATCAACTGAGTGATATTCATTTATATATTTTAGACCATAAGACATATTGTGGTCATGTGAAATGGCTGATGGTAATTATATATGTGGTTCCGTGGTCCTCCTCACTGATCTAAAGTTCAAGACACTTTATATTCTACACATGAACTCAATCTTCCAAGCAACTTAATTATGGGTTGTTTTTATAGAGGAAGAAATAGGTAAAGCGAGATTAAGAAATTTGCATGAGCTAACCCAGCCTAGTTGTAACTGAAAAATTGTAGTTGAAATGTGTAAACCAAGTGTTAATACATTTTATTTTTAATGCTTAAAAAATTGTTTTCCTATAGATGATATTGACAAAAACTGACAAATCTTCCAAGGGGTATCTTTTAAAACAAGCACTTCAGATCCAGAAGTTTGTCAACACAAAAACACAGGGCTGTTTTCCTCAGCTGTTTCCTGTAAGGTAAGAGTCAAATTGCTTTAGTAACATTATGTACTACAACCCTTCACTGTTCAATCAACATTTCTTCAATTGAGGTACCACTTGGAAAAGTGTGTGTTTAGCTCTGGCTTCTGGGTAGTCTGTTCATACTTTATTTTTCCCACCCTGTTCTTCCCTCCTATTTCATGCTGATCATCCCTATAGGGACTTTGTTCTTTTTCTCCTTCAACCTAGCCCAACCCTAGACCATGGCAGAAAGGAAAGCTTTCTACTTACAGCTGAAATATACTACCATCTCCTAGTTATGTATTTATTATGTATGCATGAGGTGCACATGTGGAGGTCAGAGGATAACTTTCAGGAGCCTGTTCTCCTGCCACCTTGAAGAACATGGGGATTGGGCTCAAGTCATCAGGCCTGTACACGAGCACTTTTTCTTGATAAGCCATCTCCCTCTTAAATTCAAAGAAACTGACTTATTGTTATGGTAGAAAGTTCATTTGGGGGGCTCAGCAGTAAAGAGCACTGACTGTTCTTGCAGAAGACCCAGGTTCAGATCCCAGCACCCACATGGCAGCTAACAACTGTCTGTAACTCCAGTTCCAGGAGATCCGACAGCCTCATCTGTCCTCTGTGGGCATTGCACGACACAGGTGCACTTACCTACATGCAGGCAATACATGCATACATGTAAAATAAAAATAATATTTTTAAGTTTATTTGGGCTATGAGAGATAAAACTTTGCCTGAATAGTTAACAGTTAAAAACAAAAATTCCCTTTGAAAGGACCATATTAGAAGAAAAAAATGGTTTAGGTTTTAATTACACTGGACAGACAAGACAGGTATTTCCTGACCTGGTAACTTCTGAAACACTGTGATGTGGTTTAATGAAAGCATAGGTTAGTACTTTTATTGTATACCTTGAGTACAGTAAGTAATGTGTACTGAGGCAGATAAAGCAACAAGCTTCTCTGATTTCCTTTCTCTGACTTCTTTGTGAAAGGTATAATACTAGTTATGAGAAAATAGGTAACAGGTAACATTTTATTGTAGGTTGTCCTAGTTAGCTTTCCATTGCTGTGATAAAACATTCTGACCAAAACCAACTTGGCGGGGGGGGGGGTGTATTTGGGTGTATTTAGCTTACAGGTCCCGATCATTGAACATCATTGAGGGATGAGTTTCAGGGCAGGAACCTGGAGGCAGGGACTGAAGCACAGGCCACAGAGGAATGCTGCTTACTAACCTGCTCCTCTGGCCTGTGCTCACCCTGCTTTTGTGTGCAACCCAGGCCCACTTCCCACATTACTCAGCAACCAAGAAAATGTGTCACAGACATGCCCACAGGCCAGTTCCATAGATGAAACTCCTCAGTTGAGGTTTCCTCTTCTCAGGTGTGGCAAATTGACAGCCCAAGCCAACCATGACAGAGGTCAAAGTCCCCTAAGTAGCTATTTTAGGTCCTATCAATCTCAGTCAGATTTAAATTGTAATTATGAACATGCCTTTCAGAATCCTCCTTCCTTCATTCCTACAAAATGCTCTTCTTTAACTTTCAAATATCTTTCCTCTTAATTTGCCTTTCTCCTATATATACAGTAGGAATTCCTGGAGGCAAGAGTGGAGTCCTGATTCTTCCTAGAGCCCTGAGCATTGTCATATAAAAACAACTCTAATCTTTTAACTTTTTAATAGAAGAAAGTGAGTCTTCAGCTAAAAAAAAAGCAATAAGCCAGGCGTGGTGGTGCAGGGCTTTAATCCCAGCACTCGGGAGGCAGAGGGAGGCGGATCCCTGTGAGGTCAAGTCCAGTCTGGTCTACATAGTGAGTTCCAGGACAGCTGGGGCTACAGGGAGACCCTGTCTCAAAAAGACCAAAAAGAAAAGAAAAAAAAAAGGGGGGGGGCCATACAAACATAAAACTAGCAATTCCTGACTATATATACTGTATGCCACAGACCAATCCAGTCCAGTCAGGTTGAGATTTGACTTTAAGAACTACAGCTGTCGGAAAACAGATGGCTTTAGGAGAGATTGTGACACTAGAACATCCAAAACAATTGGTCTTCATTAGTAAACATGCCTATTTCACATATAAGGTTTGAGGTTATAAATTGGGTTACAGAGACATGTTTGCTGAAATGGAAAGAGTATGGGCCTTAGGGTCAGATAGCCCATGGTGTTTAAAGAAACTTGTTTCTTTTCTTTTTTCTTTTTTTTAGTCTGTTTTCTCACTGGTAAAAATGTAGTCACTAGAAAGATCATGTCAGTGGTTAGTAAGTAACAAGGTGAGGCTTATGACCCATGTTATCAGCCTCCTAGTATTTTTAAGGACTGTTCTGTTTTTTAGATATGCCAGCTTTCTCTGCTACATGATACTGGAGTCACTGCTGCCACCATCCTTACAATAGGTGACCACAGCACTGCAGAAGGCCACCCAGCACTCATATGATACTTATTTTTTTTAACTTTCAGAAAATAAATTTTCAAGGTGATTATCATTTTGAAGAACAAACTAAATATGTAAAGTCTTATTCTGGAAAACAAAGTAAAATGGAAGACATGGTAGTTTTTTAGAATCCTGAAAGAAATGGATCAGATACTATGTATCATCAGATTTTGGAATACATGAAGTTGGCAGAAAAGAAAGGACAGGTTAAAAGGCACCAATTGCCCTCCTACATGGAATCATAAGATTTTGTAAATAACTTTCAGTTAAATGAATTTATCTCTTTTACACCCTTTGAGATAAGGAAAAAAAACATTTCTTTTCTTTTCACAGTGTAGTGACCTATTCTGGAATCCATCTGTTGAAATGCTTTATAGCAGATATAACAGGAAGTCTCAAGTAATGGTTCCCAGTGTAGATGAAATTTCAGAATTCTTCATATCAACTGGAGTTAAAACACTGAGAAGAATTTCAATATTGTTTTAAATATTGTATATCTGCAACTTGAAGAATCACTTCAGCTCTGAAGCCTGCATCTTCCTAAAGCAAGAATGAATTTGCTTGGTGGTGGGGGGGGCGGGGGGTATAAATAATTGCATCATGCTGTTCATTAGGACAGATACTAGCTGGTTCCTGTTTTAACAAACTGACAAGCAAAAGCAGATAGAAATTCAAAAAGTGAAAACCTGTTACTACTGTGTAGGGAAAGGTTTGTTATTTTATTTATTGGAATTTTACCTTGGAAAGGAAATGTTGGGGCTGGAGAGATGGCTCAGCAGTGAAGAATGCATACTGTTCTTGAAGAGGACTCAAATTCATTTACCAACATCCATGTCAGAAGCCTCACAACCACCTGTAACTCCAGCTCCAGGGGATCTAATGCCTTTTTCTTAACTCTGTGGGCACTTGCACTCATATGCACATACCCACGCAGACACACATATACACATAATTAAAAATTAATAAAAATAGTGCCAGTCAAGGTGGCTTACACCTTTAATCTCAGCACTCGGGAGCAGAGGCAGATGGATCGTTGTGAGATTTTTTGCAGCCAGCCTGGGATGGTCTACATAGTGAGTTCCAGGCCAGCTGGAGTAACATAGACCCTGCCTCAGAAAACCAAAAGTAATAAATCTTTTTTTAAAAGATAATGTCTACAATCTTAATCTTTAAAGTGAACTGTGTAAGGGGCTACTTTTGTTAAGCAGTAATAGTTATGTTAAAAATGATCCTATGTATACTTGTCATTGGGCCTTGGGAAAATTGCTTAATCTTTTTCTTCGGCCACTATCACTACATTAGCTAGAAAGGTTAAATGGTATTATATTTGATGATATATATGAGGACAGCTGCATAATCAACCAAAGCATACAGTAAAACATACAGGTTTGAAAACACACAGTTTTGTATCACAGAAAATATCCTGTCTTGAAAGAAGTAGCGTTTTTCTAGCAAGAAGCAAAAATAAACAACTAGCTTTAAGTGAGGGAATTAATTTGCAAAGGGCAAGAGAAAAAAGTTGGTGGGACAGTTTAGAATCGGCACATTCAAGATTCAGAATGGTGTTGTATGACACTATACCTAGGAAGACAACAGACATCTACTCACCTCAGATAAGAAACCAATGACAGACCAAAGATACAACCAAACTCCAGCTTGGTGAACCAATGTGGTTATTATTGTGGTTATTTACAGAAGTATGGGTGAGGGGTTATTTACCAGAGCAGAAATGACTCAGAAGATAGCTGCATCACTAAAAGCCCACCCCAGTCTGGGGGACAACTTTCAAAAGCTGGAGACCTAGAGCACACTGCCCAGCTTGCAGGCAGCTCAGTTTGTGTGAGTGTCTTCTAGGCAGTTTGGCTAGACTCTCCTTTTTGCAGACCTCTCAAATGGTTTGAACCTCTTCTAGGCAGCTCAGCTTGTCTGGGAGTGCCTTTTAGCAGCCTAGAGCTTCTGTATGCTTGGGGAGGGTCATAGAGTACCTGGTCAGTGTTAAGTACTTCCTGAAGCCTTTGAGTGGTTCACGTCCAGAGCGTATTGAGTTTCCCTGAAGGATGGAATGTTTTACCTCCCCTTAAACCATCCTGTGTCTTAAGCTTTCCTCCAAGATGGAAGGTTTTTGAGACAGTTTCCCTGTAGCCCCAGCTGGCCTGGAACTCCCTATGTAGGTAGACCAGGATAGCCTTGAACTCACAGAGATCCGCCCCCTCTGCCTCCCAAGTGCTGGGATTAAAGGCGTGTGCCACTATGCCAGGTAAGATGGAAGATTTTTACCTGGGAGGAAATTGCTATACAATAAATGGGAAAATGCTTATTTTGACCTAAAGTTCACGGAAGCAAATTTTACAAAGGTGACACTAACCCATTTCTATAAAGTGCCTTAGATTTTTCAAGGCTGAATATTTTTTAATATTTTTATTTGATGTGAGCATATTGCTTACATGTAAGTGCATCTGTGTCATGCAATGCCTGCACAAGTTAGAAGAGGTATCAAATCCCCTGGAACTGGAGTTATGGTTAGCTACCATATGGGTGCTGGGAACCAAACCTGGGTCCTCTGGAAAAGCAGCCAGTGTTCTTAACCCCTGAGCCATCTCTCCCACCCCCAAAATTTGAGTGTCTTGCCTGCATATATGTAAGTGTACCACATGTGCAATGCCCAGAGTCCAGAAGAGGGCATTGGATTCCCCTGGAACTGGATTTACAGCTGGTTGTTAGCCACCATGTGTGTGATGGGAACCAAACCCAGGTCCTCTGCAAGAGCAACGGGTTTTTCTAACCCCTGAGCCAGCTCTCTAGCCCTTTAAAGTGATATTTTGGGGAGGTCTTTTTGAGACTAAGGATATATTAAAACCTTGAGTTTTATATTTTCAGTTTTATAATTGATAGAACCAGTCTGTTTTATTCTAACCAATATTTTAAGCCAAAGGGGAAAAAAAGGGTGATGAATTATCTTAGAGGTCATCTGGTCATCCTTCTGCCAGCCAGTGTTACTTTACTGCTCATCCTAATGTAGGTATTTATAAAAAGCAGAGCCTCATTCAAAAATTTCATGTGCTAGCGTATTTGTGAAGTAATTCCAGATAACAGGTGTGGTGAAGGGAAGAGAAAGCTGGCCAGGCAGTTGGCCACCACATAGGCATTAGTGCTTGATCTTGAAGGATTTTTCTGAGCAGCCTCAAGACATGGATTTCTAGTGCTGGGGATGTAGCTTGGTGCTAAAGCAACTGCCTCGCATGTGAAAGGCCCTAGGTTTAATATCCTAGCACAACCCTCCTCCCAAAGAAATGTACTTACGAATTTTCTGAGACCAGGAGATGGTCTTTGCCTAGTTTGAAGTGCCAAGAGATTCCTATAGCCTATTTAAAGCCCAGAGGTTCACACATAAACCAAGGTGTACACATGCATACATCTCAGATACATTCCAGTCCAGCCTGATCTACATAGCAAGGTCTAGGCCACCCAGTTAAATAGTGAGACCCTGTCTATAAAATAAAGTCCCCAGAACATGAGTCAAGGCCAGCCCTACTCAAAACTACTGCCACAGCAGTGTCAGAGGATTTGAAGTGAAAAGGAGTTCTTAACTGATCTTACAGATGACCTAAGCACCTAATGCACCTTTTAGCCCTTATCTGAGATGCTTGGGTCCCCAAGTGTTTCAGGTTGTGCAATTTGTTAGACTTTGGACAATTTGCATAGGCTACTAGTTGAATGTCCCAAATCCAAAACTCCAAAATCAGAAATATTTCCAAACCTCTAACTTTTTGAGCATTATGTCAGTACTCAAAATGTTGCAGCTGTGCACTGGATTGAAGTAAGCTTTTTTTTCACCCCCATCCCCCCACCCCAGGCTTTCAAGCTGAGTTGCAACTTTGCCCTGGATTTCATGTTTGCAGGCTTTGGGCTTGATTGAAGCCCTTGCCAGTTCTGAGGGCCACTGATGGTTTAGATCCCAAAAGCGCTGGGCTCTGTGTGCTATCTGTAGAGAGCTGATCACTCAGGGCAACAGGGAAGACTGTCTTCTGAGCTCACCCCTCCTGCTTCTCTTTGGACTGGAGGAGGTTGAGGATGGAGTGGATTTTCCATGACAGGCTAGCTTTTCTCATGGGCAAGAGAGCTCCTTTCATAATTTGTACATGAAGCTCAAGTCATTTCCTATAGCAATGGCATTGATACAAGCTATAAATTGATGATTAGCCTTATTCTTGGGTGTACTTTGTGTATCCTAAACTGATTTTTTTTCATTTTATCTTCTCACCTACCTTTTTGTTACCCTGCTATATTTCATATAAACAAGAAAAATGAAAACCTTTTGGAAAATTCTAAATACACCCTCCTAATAAATAAGAGTTGTGATCACGAGTGATGGAAAAACCTTTAACTCTTGGTGATCTACTCTAATAGAAACAACAGCACACACTGGAAGCTACATGCATTGCTACTCAAGGGGTGGGCATGGTCAGGGGAGGTGACCCAGCAGGTAAAGGCACCTGCTGCTAAGCCTCACAATCTGGGTTCAATCCCCAGGACCCTCATGGTGGAAGGAGAACCAACTCCCACAAGTTGTCCTCTTGACTTCCACACGTCATGGCATTGTGCACCACACACACACAGACGTGTGCGTTTTTAAGAAATTTTTTTTGAGAGATGACCATAACTTCCTTTCTACTCACCAATTTTGTTCCCTATTTGCCTTTATCACACAAGATCTTGCAAACTTATTCAAATCCCAGTTCCCTAGAACAATGATTCAATTCTCAGGAACCTATCAGCCTCAGTCAAGAAACTGCACATTTCTCAGAGGCAGGCTGTAACAGACTTCACTGTATCTAACACCTGGCACACGGTCAAAGTCAAACACATACTAGTTGATTAACACAGAACTGCTATAAATATTTATTGATGTGAAATGCACTCCTGTAGAATGCTGCATAGAAGCAGCTCCTCCCTGGGGCCAAGCAGCACTTCCTGTTCTTGGCACTTCCACTTAAAACAGCAGAACACTGAACCAGCTTATTAATTGCTTAAAAGTCTCACATATGAACATCTAAACTCCCATTAAAGCAAAAATATCATCGATGTCATCTGCCTCTTTAACAGTTCCTGGCATAGTGTGTGTGTTTCTGTGCCTCTTTGTCCACAAATGAGTTTCATTTCCACTGCCTCCTATAAGATTTCCATGGATCCGTTTGTCCTTTGTTTCTAGGACAGGGTTTGAAAGTCTTCTACTCAAGAGCTGCTTACTGTTGGGACAGAGATCCATCCTCTGACCTGCCCCACCTGAGAGTCTCCACTTAGCACTGGTGTCCATAGTGCTCTTCAGAGACCCATGAGGGAACTGCTGAATTTCCTTTAAAAGCATTGACTGCAACTTTCTCTGTGGTTTCCTTTGTCTCAGTAAAATTTTGCCCTTTGATCTTTGTCTCAGATGATGCTTTGAAGTCCTGATATCGGAGCCGCCTCGAAGAAGGCAGTTGCAAATAGATGCTTTCATGCACTGTAGTTTCTTTGGCAAACTAAAGGACAAAAAAAGAAAAACCTCAGCTTACTGTGACGCTAAAGAGTTCTCAAGCACTGTTAACTGTCCCCACCAACTTCAACAGAAAAGTATACAGCTGATTACAAGTCCTTTGCCTATGTATAATCTCAGAATGGTAACATAAAATAAGAAAATATAAATTTCAACTAAATCTGTGTTTCCAGAGCCTGATTTCCCCTCTGATTCAGGATGTAGGCAGACATGTCTCCATTTTGCCCTCAAAGAAAATTAACTCCCACAACTAACTAGCAAGGTAGATGAAAGGTGGGACACCTCCACGCCAGAGCCACAGCCTTTCTCTCACTGCTAATCTCTTCACAGTGTATAGGAATGGAAATGGAAAAACAGCACAAATAAAAAACTGTGTTGTAATCCTTATCTGTATAAACAAGTGCATGTTGCAGCAGGAAATGAACAAAGGAAAAGAAATAAAAATGACAAGGGTATTGACAGCCAGGCTTCTGGTGCAAACTGACAGCCTCAAGGTACTCAAGTGAGATTCATACTACATCTTCTTCAAGCCTACAAAATTCACAGCTCAGCTGATAAGTCGAGGTGTTTCCCATCTAAATACTGTGCACTACCACATGGCACAACAGTGTCTCACTGAACTACCTCTCTCTTTGTGATTGTCAGTTTTTAAAGATTAACATTGGTCTGTACTCCTTACCCAAGTCCTTTTAAAACAAAAAATTTGAGGAAACCCTACATAATGACACAATTCATGACTTGTTTCCAAACCATCCTTCATGTCTTACTGTAAGCAGTAACTTTTCAGTGGGTAAAAGGTGGGTATATCTGAGTTGAAGTAAAATAAAAACAGAAATCAGAGGACCTGAATTGAGTTCTAGACCTCCAGTTCCAACATCTTGAGCAAAATCTTGTCTTCGTGTATAAAACGGGAATAATGGCCTAGAGAAGTGGCTCAGCAGTTAAGCGCTCTGGCTGACTCTTGCAAAGGACCCAGGTTTGGTTCCCAGCATCTACATGGCGGCTAACTATCCTAACACCAGTTCCAGGGCAATCTGATGCCCTTTTCTGACCTCTGTGGGCATTGCATGGCAAGGGTGCACCTACATACATGCAGGCGATACATTCATACACATAAAAATAATAAAATGGGAATAATACTGCCTACTTCAGAGAGTACTGTGGCCCTTAAATATGGTGCAAAATGTACTATAAAAAAATGTATTTTAGCACTCAGGAGGCAGAGGCAGGTAGATCTCTGTGAGTTCAAGGCCAAGGCTACATAGTGAGAGCCTGTCTAAACCATAAAACAAAAACCCAAACTTGCCTGTAAGCCCAAACCTTGGGAAGTAGAGGCGCTCAGCAGTTAAGAGCACTGGCTGCTCTTGCAGAGGACCTGGGTTCAATCAGTTAAAAGCACATGGTGGCTAACAACCATCCAAAACTCCAGTTCCAGAGGATCTGACACCCACTTCTCACCTCCACAGGCATTGCACACATGTACACTTACATACATACTGGGCAAATCACTCATAAAAATAAGTAAATCCAAAAAAGGTATTAATGAAACAGCAATAGAGCAACATGACCAACATACCTGGGCATGGGAATGACTTATGGGTAAATGGGAATTTGTAACCAAAATTAATCTTATGTTTTGAGACCATTTAACACTACTTCAGCTTGTTTAGCGTGTAATCAATCTTACTAAGCCTCAGGCTCTCTTGTAACCTAAACATGTAACTTTAATACTTCATGATCCTTCCTTACTCCTGGCCCAAAATAGTGTGTGTGTGTGCATGTGTGCACATGTGTGTACATGTGTGTGTTGTGAAAATATCAAGTGTTAAATGCAGCAATCATTGGGAACAATAAATTATTCCATTTGTGCTGCAAACAACAGGTGGGATTAGACTGATAACATCTATTTGTGGTTTTGTATGCTGTTCTAGATCAGTAGGGGTCAGAAAGAAAAACCTCTGATAAGACAGGTTCCTCTTTTCCTTCTCCATATCCTGCTGGATGAACTGTTTCAATAAAGACAGAGCAAGTCCTCTGTTCAAGAGGGAAATTCTGAGACAAATTTGAAGAAACAAATTCTCAGAACACATCAAGCTCCTCCTGGTTCTAACCAACACCAAGGAGTCACACTATCTTTGTTCAGGCACTGCCATAATGAGGCATCTCTCTACCACATTTGGGGAGGAACAGACTAATAGTTTAACCAGTGAACACGAGTTTGTCACCTTTCTCATTAACTGTTCATCATTACCATCTCTATTTCCACCTACTTAAACCCAATCTTGAACAGAATGTCTCTCCATCTCAGGCTAAGCTAACAACTCTATGACAGATCCCTTTTAGATAGCTACAGATCTTTGGGGGATCCCAATGTAAAAAGCTCTTCAGCAATTCATTCCTTAGAAATATTCAACCATTTCTCCCATGGCTCTTGGTCAATACTTATTATAACATCAATTTCTGAGCCAAATATCTTCTCCATAATCTTTTAAATATAACAGTTTAGGCAGTTTCAGTGGTTTATTCCTAGGAACCCATTATTGAACCCTGTATAGACACAAGTCTGGAACTATTCATAAGAAATTATGGTGCATGTACAGGATATTCCTAGAACAACACATAAAAGCTAGTCAGAGTGACAGCTTCAAAGAGGAATAGGGATTTCCATGCCTATCTCGGAAACTGTTACTATTAGCATCTATTATTTTTCAATAAAAATTAAAGTCCTGAAGTTTTAAGGTTCATATGTTTCATGCAGTAGTGGTTTACAATTTTAAGCAATTCTATGAGTGTAAGGATCACAATAAAATAAATCTATAAGAGTCTAGCTGCTGTGAGCATCAAGCCTGACCATAATCCTGGCAGCCTGGTGTGGGCAGCAGCACTCACTCCTCTCACACCCTGCTTCACACCCTCACCCAGCTGTACTGATGCTGTCTACAAAACGGCCACTGCCCACTAGAACATGAACACCTGAAGACTCAAGTCTGCCCAATGCTGCTGTCACCCTAGGCTTTATATGCCACAGGCAATCTTAATGAATTCAGAATAAACCAGGGGATAATACAGTATTAAATTGGTAAGTCCAATTAACCTACATTCACTTTTTCCCTCCTGACACAACTGCCCATATAACATTAGCAACACATGAAATTGCAATTTGAGTGCTCTCATTTTTAGCACCCTGCAGGCTGCTAGACATTCCGTGTGCTAGACATTCAATGTTAAAGAAAGGAGATAATGCACACACACACACACACACACACACGCACACACACACACACACACACACACACACACACACGCACGCACACACTTTGTTACCTTAACAACAGAAAAAGTAAAGGAATTTTTGTACTTACCTGTAACCTTGTGCTTCCACATGTTTAAGCCTGTTACTTTTAAGAAGTTTGCTGCTCAGATAGGTGGCCTGAGCCTTGAGTTTTCTGCTCCTGCACCATACAATTGCCATTTGGATTTCTTCAGAGAGCTGAATGAAAGTCTTTGCCTCTCGGAATTTCTGCACAAAACTTTTAGCTTGAGGGATTTCTATTAGCTTCTGAGAAGAAAGTTTGGTTGTCTTCAATTTGGAGTAAGAACATTTAAACTCAGAGCTAGTCTCCTAGAGTACAGAAAGGTGAGAAAAATGTACTGAAAATGGTACTGACTTATAAATATATGACATGAGTTTTGGAAAGCCGATTCACTTGTAATTTTTAAATGATTAGTGTTTTTAAAAAGAAAATTTTTTGCCCACTGAATTTTCCATTTATGTCAAAAAACAACTTTTTATCCAATGCACCTAACACAACTTCCTTTTCACCCTCTACTTAGATAGGTCACTTCTGCCTTTTAATTAAATGTACATAAGAAACTAAACATAAAATTCTTACACACATATGCAACACACACAAGAAAATGCCACATGATTAAATACTGATCAAAGCCTAATAGACAGAAAAAATAAAAGGCCTTTAATGACATCACTGGACTAGTGGACTAGACACCTTTTTATTAGGGGAATGTTTCTACTTTTTTTTTTTGTATTGAGGGTTGAACTTGTGCATGCTAAGTAAGAGGTTTCCCCAAACCCTTTTTTTAAGTTTTGTTTTGAGATAGGGCCTCACCAAGTTAATCAGGCAGATTTAAAAACCCAGGAAGGCTTTGAACTCGAAATCCTCCTAAATCAGCCTCCCAGGTAGCTGGGTAACAAATTTGTGCCACTCTCGGCTTGGACTACACTTGTTTTCCACTTATTTCTATCCCCCAACTAACCTTCCTCATGATGGGTCATAATGTTACTGAAAACATGATAATGGGGGACCCTAAAAAGTGCCTAGCATAGTAGGCCTATCAGTCAATCAATGAACAGAATAAAATTGCTTACCTGAGCAACATTTTCAATTTCACCTGCACCACTTTCTTACAAGGCATCTATTTCTTCAGCCCCCTTTTTCTACATCAAGTTTGGGTTTTACTAGCATTTTCTACTTTGCGTAGAAAATGACCCATCATGAGGAAGTTTACTTGGGGGATAGAAATAACTGGAAAACAAGTGTAGTCCAAGCAGAGAGTAGCATAGGGTTGTTATCCCAGCTACCTGGGAGGCTGATTCAGGAGAATTTCTAGTTCAAAGGCTTCCTGGATTTTTAAATATACCACCTACCAAGTCTGCCTATTCTCCACTCAAAGCCTACTTTCTTTCCAAATTTCTCACCCAACAAGGAACCTAAAAATAATATAAAGGCCATCAATATTCTGTGATCAAATTTTTCTCTAAAAGCAAGCTGAACAGATTAATGCCTATTACTAAAACTATAGGAGCAATTACTCTTGAATGAGGAGGAGGAGGCTAAACAACCAGCATCAGCCTCCCCTATGAATTGGCACACACGCACACAGCAAAAACTTAAAGAGCCACTGACACCACAGTTCACTTTGAAACCCAGAACTGCAAAATCTCTGGGACTGGTGTAATGGTAAGAAACCAAACTGCCTGCATTTAAACGCAAGCTCTGTCAGGTTGTTATGTGACCTGGACAAACTTTTAGTCTTTCTATGCTCAGTTTCCTCTACTGAAGTATGAAAGCAGAAATGAGATCATCTAGCTCACCAGGCTTTTGTGAGGATATAAGAGGTAATACGTATAAAGCATTTAAGTATTTGCTATTACAGTTCAATACAAAGTATTTGCTATTACAATTCCTGCCTCTTAATTCATGAATGAAGCAGAATAAAATGCAAGTTGGGAGTTAGAGAGATGGCTCAGAGGTTAAAAGCACTAGCTGCTCTTGTAGAGGACCCAGGTTTGGTACATACAACCCACCTGGCAGCTCATAACTAACTATAACTCCAGTTTCTGAGGATCCAGTGCCCTCTTCCGACTCCCATAGGCTCTTGCACACATGTAGTGCCCATATGTACATTCACACACATACACATACACAATAAATAAGTAAATAAATATTTAAAAACATACCCCTTGCGATATGCATGCTTCCCCTTAAGATTTATTAATGTAATCATTTCATGTAATAAAAAAGCATAGATGATTTCTTATTAAAAAGTGAATTCTTTTCTTCCATTTAACTTTTTTTAGCATCTAGTAATTGGCCTGTAAAACAAAGCGATTATTTCTAAGTGGAGCCTTTTTTTTTTGGTCTTTTTGAGACAGGGTCTCCCTGTAGCCCCAGCTGTCCTGGAACTCACTATGAAGACCAGGCTGGC